CAGCATCAGCATCATCATCATCACCATTATCAGCATCAGCATCATCATCAGCTACAGCATCATCATAATCATCAGCAGCAGCAGCATCATCATGAGCATCGCCTCGCCTCTTCTCTCCTTCTGATTCCTGCTTCTACTCCTCCCTCCTCCCCTCCTCTCTGACATCCCTTCTTTCTCTCTCTCGCTCTCTCTCTCTCTCTCTCGCTCGCTCGCTCTCTCTCTCTCTCTCTCTCTCTCTCTGCTTCCATGCATTCCCATCTTCCCCCTGCACTCCTCGTTTCTCTGCCGCCGTCGGGCCCCAGACCAAGACCCCCCTGGCGCCGTGACGTGATCACGACGGAGGGCTGCTCGCAATGCGTTCGGCTTCTGGGGGCCTCACTGGGTCCCTGGGGCCGGGCCGCTCAGGGGTGATAAGCCGATCCTGGGGATCGGGTCGAAACCTCAGGGGCCAACGTTGTTAAATCACCCTGGCACGTACCCATCACATCTGGCCATCTGCAACGTGTGGCAATATCAACTGACATATCGAATGCGAACATGCCCAAGTTGTCAACGGAATGCAATCCCGTGCGATACCTACACGGGAAACCTAGTCTTTGTACGCCCAAGCGGAACTGTACGAGGCGACACCCAAAATGAAGAAATGGATGGGAGTCCCTCCAGACCTCAGGGCGCAAGTGGTTTAACGAGTTCGGCCTTCCAACCACCATCTTTCACTTCGGGGAAGGGATCACCTCTGCTCCCGACTAATGAACTCCCCCTCCCCCACACGACCAGCAACAAACAAAGGACAATGCCAACACACACCCCGCTATCCCTGCAAAAAGCAAATGCAGCATCAAAGTGCATTGCGGATAAATCTAGATCGTGCTCGTGCGCTCCACGGCCACTTTCAAGTGTTGTTCGCAGCCCTCCTTGCTTGGGCTCTCGTTCTGAATCGGGCGCTGTGGTCGAGCCTTCTCCCTCTCCTCCTGCCTCCTCCGCCCTCTTGCCTCCTACGTCCTGCATCCTGCCTCCTCCTCCTCCTTCTCCTCCTCCTCCTCCTCCTCCTCCTCCTCCTCCTCCTCCTCCTCCTCCTGCCCCTCCTCCTCCTCCTCCTCCTCCTCCTCCTCCTCCTCCTCCTCCCTCCTCCTCCTCCTCCTCCTCCTCCTCCTCCTCCTCCTCCTCCTCCTCCTCCTCCTCCTCCTCCTCCTCCTCCTCCTCCTCCTCCTCACTCTTCTCTTCCTCCCTTCTCTCTCTCCTTCGTCCAGCTCGAGTCCCTGGGGGGCTGCGGGGGGCGCGGCCATCGCCGCTGTCGTGGGCCCCTGGGAAGGTCCAGCGGAGCGGAGCTGCACGGAGGTCCAGCTGGGACCTCGCGACTCCCTGGGGGGCTGCGAAGCGCGCAGCTCTCGCCACGTTCGTGGCCGCCTGGGGTGGTCCAGCGGCGTGGAGTGGTCCGTGGACGCAGTTGGGACCTCGCGGTGCCCTGCGTGGCTGGGAAGTGCGCGACTGTCGCCACGTTCGTGGGCTCCCGGGAGGGCCCTGCGTGGCTGCTAAGTGCGCAACCGTCGCCACTTTCGCGGGCTCCCGGGAGGTCCAGCGGAGTGGAGTGGTACGCGGACCATGTTGGGCCCTCGTGGCGCCCTGCGTGGCTGCGAAGTGCGCAACTGTCGCCACTTCTGTGGGCTCCTGGGAGGTCGCGCGGAGTGGAGTTGCACGGGGGTCCAATTGGGACCTGGCGACTCCCTTGGGGACTGCGAGGTGCGCAACTGTTGCCACTTGCCGTGGGCTCTGGGGAGGTCCAGCGAAGTGGAGTGGTACGCGGACCCAGTTTGGCGCCCTGGGGTGCCGCGACGTGCGCAACTGTTGCCACTGTTGTGGGCTCCTGGGAGTCGCGACGGGAAATGCAACTGACGACAATTACTCGCATCCAAAATGGCAGGGGGTCCCATTGCGCGCGGTGCTGTTTCGTCACTGAGCGCTCGGCGCTGTCGCATCGCAGCTCGCAGGGAGCCGCTGCGCCAGGCAGCGCATGGCGCTGTTGCTGTTGTCTGCTATCCGCGTGGCCTCCCATCCTCAGCTCAGGTGCCTCTGGCCCACCTTGCCTGGCTTAGCGCGGCGCGCTCTTCTGCTGTATGGCGAGCGCAGGGCTCTGTTCTTTCCCGCGTGTGTAGCTCGGCGCTGTTGCTGTTGTACTGGACGTGTATGTCCCTCCTTCACGCCCCTCTTTGTGCTTCTGTCTCTGCCTCTAGCTTGCATCTTCCTGTATGTGTTCGTGCGCACGTCTGGGAGTTCATGCGCAGTGCGGGTCCTTCAACATGTCAGTTTGCAATTGGCGGTCTTTTCTATATGCTCCGTATGTTTAGAAAGTGTTGGGAACGTCATCGTCCATTTGTGTACACGGGCGAGGGGGTGTTGCCTCACGTGTGCAATCTCGCCAACCCTGCCAATTATCTGGGCGACGGGCCCAACCACATGCAATTGTGAATACCGCCGTTGTGGGGACTGCCTTCGGTGGAGCTCCACGTGGGCACGAAACGCGCGAAGGGTCGCCGAAATGGGGCGGGGCCGCCATGCGGACGCTGCGGCTGGGGGCTTCGGTGGGGTTCCCTATGGGGCCACGGAACGTGCGAGGGATGTGCCAAAATGGAAGAGGGCGGCATGCGAACCGTGCCACTGGGGCCTTCGGTGGAGCTCCCTGTGGGGCCACGAAACGTGCGATGGGTGTGCCAAGGTGGAGGGGGGCGGCATGCGAACCATTCCACTGGGGCCTTCAATGGAGCTCCCTGTGGGCCCGCGAAACGTGCGAGAGGAGTGCCAAAATGGAGGGGGCGGCGTGCAAACCATGCCATTGGGGCCGTCGGTGGGGCCGCGCAAGGGGCCACGAAACGTGCGAAGGGTGTGCCAAAGTGGAGGGGGGCGGCATGCGAACCATGCCACTGGGGCCTTCAATGGAGCTCCCTGTGGGCCCGCGAAACGTGCGAGGGGAGTGCCAAAGTGGAGGGGGGCGGCGTGCGAACCATGCCACGGTGGCCTTCAATGGAGCTCCCTATAGGGCCACGGAATGTGCGAGGTTGTGCCAAAGTGGAGAGAGCGCGGCATGCGAACCGTGCCACTGAGGCCTTCGGTGGAGCTCCGTACGAGGGTGTGCCAATGTGGAGAGAGCGTGGCATGCGAACCGTGCCACTGGGGCCTTCGGTGGAGCTCCCTATAGGGCCACGGAACGTGCGAGGGGTATGCCAACGTGGAGAGAGAGCGCGGCATGCGAACCATGCCACTGTGGCCTTCAAGGGAGCCCCCTGTGGAGCCAGGGAACGTGCGAGGGGTGTGCCAAAGTGGAGGGGGGCGGCATGCGGGCCTTCGGTGGAGTTCCCCACGGGGCCACGAAGCGCGTGAGAGGTGTGCCACATTGAAAGTTGGGGGACGGGCGGAGGGAGGGGAGGGGAGGAGGAGCGAGACCAGGAGAGAGAGGAGGAGGAGGAGGAGGAGAGGAAGGAGGAGGAGGAGGAGGAGGAGGAGAGGAGGAGGAGGGGAGGGGAGGGAGGGGAGGGGAGGGGAGGGGAGGGGAGGGGAGGGGAGGGAGGGGAGGGGAGGGAAGAGGAGGGAGGGGAGAAAGAGGAGAGGAGGAGGAGGAGGAGGAGGAGGAGGAGAGGAGGAGGAGGAGGAGGAGGAGGAGGAGGAGGAGGAGGAGGAGGAGACGCGGGGGCGTCCTCTTCAAAACGAGGACCCGGCACCACAAAATGGTCGGGGAAGGAAAGCCATGCAAACGCAAACTGCCACTGAAAAATTGGACCATGCGCGGGTGCCCCACGACAATGTTGCACTGTCATTTGACCGGGGCGTGGGCGGTGCCCTGGCACGCGCGGCTCACTTAGCGGGCGTCGCGCACCTGGCTGGCGTCTGAAGTGGTCCCCGATGGTTGTCGATGGTGGCCCCTGTCCGTGCTGAGACTCGGCTGCCACGGGCGGGAGTGAGCGAGACGGCTTGCGGCGTGTGGGTAGCTTGACCCCTGCCCCTACCCACTTCTCCTCGGACTGGAGGGGGGACGGCTGTGAGTTGCCACGGAGCCTCCCAAGGACGCCCCCGACAGGCCCAAATCCTCCCAAAACTGAAAGGACAGCAAAGTTGGTTGCCTTCTCGCCTTTTCGCCTTCGACTACCCTCGGAGGCCTCAAGACGGCTCCAACATGGCTCAAGAGAGCCCACAGAGGGGCCAAGAGGGTTCCCAAGACGGCCCCAAGAGCGCCCACGAGAACCCAATAAGCGACCCCAGAGAACGCCAAGATGCGACTTGTCCGCCGCCGAAGCGGAGACCGTAGTTCGTTACTCTCCCTTATGGGGCAGAGACCTCCAATACAACCCCAAGGGAGCCCCTAAAATCCCCTCAGAGAGCGCCCTGAGAGCCCCAAGAGCGCCTAGAGGACTCACACAAGGGCCCAAAAGAGCTTCAAGATGGTTCCAAGAGTCATCCCAGAGGCTCTCAGAGCCATCCCAGAGACTCCAAGGTTTCTCCGTTCACCATTGTCGGTCTCCTTGCTTCGCCACGTGCATATCTCAGTCTTCTTCCGACAACTTTCCTGGGCATCGTTCCGCGGAGGCGCAAGCCTGCGGCCGCGACGCGCTCACTCATGCCGCTGGGGCTGAGAACGAGGCCCGGTCGGGGGCAGGACGAAGAGAGGGGAGGAAGGAGGCGGGGGGCGAGGAGCAGCAGCAACCGCCGAAGCAGAAGCTGGGGGAGCAGAAGACACCGGCACCATCTCCGCCCAGGCCTCTCCGGGGGCGCGCCCTGGCAGAAGCGTCGACGAGAAGCCAGCCGCGGCCACGAGGGCGCTCCAGGGGCGAGCGGCGGCGTCGGCGCGGAACTTCGGCGCTGGACAAACCTCCCTTTAGTAGACCTCCCCTTAGTGAAAACGGCCTGGGACCGAAACCGACGGACCTGGACCCGCAAAAATGACGGCCGCGACGCCCTCTCGCGAACCGAAAACGGCCGATTCCTTGATCGACGTGTCAGGGTAGGAGGTCCGTCCACCCCCGAGAACTGAACTGCCTCCTCCGAGAGGCGGCAGCGGCGGCGGGCGGCCTTGAGGAGCACGAACACCAGCTGCCTCGCGGCGGCGTCCGAGATGAAGCCCAGCGCCCCCTCGTGGATCCACCCCTTGGTGCCCACCAGCGCCCCGCGCTCCCGCTCCGCCTCCGCGCCTCGGGCGGCCGCCGCCGCGCCCGCGAGGGGCGGCGCCACGTAGGCGGCCGCGAGCAGCGCCTCCGCCGTGCCGTGCCAGAAGAACACGAGGATGGCGTTCATGCCCACGGCCCGGCGGAGGCAAGAGTCAGGAGGAAGAGAAGCACACAGACACAATTAATCCTCGACTCCCCAGAAAATATGGGAAAATATGGGAAGTGGGGGGGAAGACAGAAACCCAGAAAATATGGGAAAATATTGGGAATAGTTTTATTTGTGTGTATTTATTTGTGTGTCCTGGGGCCCCTTCAAGGGGGGTGCCCAGAGATGGACTTGCTCCACCTCAGGTGGGCGGCACTGGGGCATGATGACCCAAAGGGGGGGCGGAAGAGAGGGGCCCTGACGGCAAGGGGCCTGTTAGGGCCCCGTTTGGAACCAGGTGGTGCTCAGAAGGGGCCCCAAAGGAGCCCCTTGAGGCCTTTTTCTTCTTCCCCCCCTGTTGGGTCGCCCCCCATTGCCACCCGCCCGACAATCCGGCGGTTTCTCCTGGAGTTCGGCCTGATGGGGCCTGCTTATCCGGCCCAGGGACGACAAACCAACCCGAAGAGAAGGGGTCCGGGGTCGCGGCTTGAAAACGTCACATCGGCGGATGTCTGGGTGGGCAGCCCTGGGGCGGGCCATGCGCGTGCTCGCCGGGGGAGCCTCGCCGAAGGCATGGGCGATCGTGGCCACGTCATGCACTGCAGTGCTCCCCCCTGCTGGACCACAGTCACTGGACTACCATAAGGAGCGCTGGCCACGGAACGAGGGGACTTGCCTGGCCACGGCGAGACTCCGCAGCGAATAGGTCTCTGCACCTAGACTGAAGGAACGACCCGAACACTGTGGCACCTCCTGAGACCCGACTGGCCCTTGTTGCAGTGTCTTGACTGCACTGGGGAAACCAAAAAATGTACCGATATCGCCACTCCGCGGACCTCTCCCAGGGTGCGCTCTGACCAGAATTTCGAGGCGCATCCAGGCATGGCGCCGAGAGCCTCCCGGGAGGCCCACACAGGCGCAAGCGAGGGAAGGCTAGGGGTAGGGGTGCCCTTTCCTCCTCCGCTGTGTCCGCCCCTCTTGCCGCCGCCGAGATGGCCTGCAGCGGGAACAGGACCAGCCTGGCCCACTGGCGCGCGCGCCCCCGGCTGCAGCCGCCGGCCCCCCGCGCGGAGGGGCAGCCGGCCGCAGGCTGCTCGCAGGGCCCGCCCGCGTCGACCGCCGCGTACACGAGCGCCAGTGCGCCGCCGCAGCTGCCGGCGGTGCAGAGGAGGTTCGGCGACCCCGAAGGGTGCTTAACGGGCGAAGAACGGTAGAAAATAAACTTTTCGTTGTCGGGGGCGCCTGTCCCATGGCGGCTGGGAAGTTTATACCCTTACGGTGGCACCGTAGGGGTATAAACTTTTCAGCCGCCAAGGGGCAGGCGTCCCCGACGGCGGAAAAGTTTATGTTATACCGTGTTTCGCCCGCTGAGGTGCGGTTTGCAAAGGGTGTGGTTGGCAACCCGCACCTGGGGAGGAAGGGCGAGGACCTCGGCAGAGAGGTCCGTCGCAACCCCGACGAGGGCTCGTCGGGCACTTGGCGCAGCGCACGGGCCCCTGTGAGCCCCAACGGCGCCGATCGCGACACCACCCGGCGCAGCTGGAAGAAGAAGAAGAAAACACAGCACAAACATCATAAACTTGTGGCGCTCTGCGCGGCGGAGCTCTGGGATCTGCGCTGGACCCCCCCTCCCTGGCGCGCCGAGAGCGCCAGGGGCGGCGCCGGAGGCGCCGCCAGGGGGGCCCCAGCGCCGATCCGGGAGATCCGCGCGGCACTCCGAAGGCTTTTTATGTTGTGGCGCTCCTTCTCTTCTTCGAGGAAACAGCACCCCTTGCAGGTCGCCGAGAGGTAGGAGGGCGACCACAGCTGCTTGTTCATCGGTAGGGGGCCGCCTGCGAACCCTACCCCTGGCCCCCACGATTTCTGAGGGGGAGGGTGGGGGTCACTTCGTTCGGGAGCTCTCCAGCGAAGTGAACCCCACCCTCCCCCTCAGAAGTCCTGGGGGGTAGGGGTAGGGTTCGCAGGCGGCCCCCTAATCGGGAGGCCGGCGGCCTGCAGCGCCAGGCCCGCCGCCAGGAGCGCCGCCGAGCAGAGCCCCCAGTGCAGGAGCGGCCCGCGCCCGGCGGGCCCGGCCTCGCGGCGCAGCGCGCGGGCGTAGTGCGCGCCGAGCCACACGCTCGTGACCGCGGGCAGGGACGCCAGCGCCCCCTCCGGGTCGTAGACGGTGCAGAGGAACCCAAGACGCCACATGATATGAGCAGCAACCCCTGGAGCTCCGCGCGGACCTCTCGGGTCGGCGCTGGGGCCCCCCCTGGCGGCGCCTCCGGCGCCCCTCCCTGGCGCGCTCGGCGCGCCAGGGAGGGGGGCCCGGTACCGATCCGAGAGCTCTGCCGGGAGCTCGAGAAGGCTGAGCCTGTCGCGTCGTCCGTTCCTCGAGCTGTGGGCGTAGCACCAGGGCGCCGCACCGCGGCCCGGGTGCTCGCTGCCGGCGTCGGCCGTCGGGGTGGTGGGCGCTGGGTAGGGGCAGCTGCCAGGCGAGCAGGAGGAGCACTGCGGCATCCTGGCGCTCATCCAGACCCCCAGGCGGTCCTGGCCGAAGAGCAGCCGGTCGTAGTAGCCCGCGGCGCTACACTCGGGCGTGGCGATCGCACCCCGCACCTCGCAGGCTATCTCGAAGGGCTCCCGCAACAGCGATGGGTACCCTGCAGCCGCATCCCAGCCGTACCGCGAGGTCCAGCTGGGCACGTAGGTGCCAAAGGTCAGCGCAAGGTGGAGCACGACGAACAACAACGCCACGGCCCACTGCAGGAGGTGCCTGCTGAAGACTGCGAGGGCGGGACGGCGCCCTGGCGGCGGCCTCAGCTCTGGGACCCACAGCTCGATCAGGGCAGCAACCTCAGAGGAGAAACAGATGGCAATGACGACACTCTTCCCTCGTCATCACCTTCTGGCGCCTCCTGGGAGCGCCGGCGTGGCCGTGGCTGGATTCGCCTCCAGTCCTACTCGGAACGCACCCCTGGAGAGGCGAGGGGGGAGCAGCGGCATCGGCATGACCTCTCCCCCCGCCACCAGGAAAGCCCATGCAATGCGCTGCAAGATCCCACAGAGTCTCATCGTACGCAGATTGTAGCCGTACTGGTAGTCGCCAATCCACCCGCCGCCCTGAAGCAGCAGCCCCAGCGCGAAGAGCTTGAGGCTGCGCACGCAGACCGTCGTCGTCCCCTGCAGCCGCAGCCGCCGGTCTCCCTTAAAGCGCCCCAGGGACAGCGCCATGGAGGCCCCGACCATGAACAGAAACCACGGCATCACGAGGTCCGCGACAGTGATGTGGTCCCACGGCGAGTGGTTCATCCCAGGGTATCAGATGCAGGGAAAACTACACCAACATGAATCTTCGAACGTCCGCGCGGGTATCTAGGATCGGCGCTGGACCCCCCTCTCCGGCGGCGCCGCAGGCGCCGCCAGGGAGCCCCAGCGCCGATCCGTGAAGCCCGCGCGCAGCTCCGAGAGCGCATGCGCCTGCAGCTTCCTCCTCTTCGGGGCATGCCTCCCCGATCTCGTCGACAAAGACCATGAGCGCAACGGTGAAGCCCCTCACGATGTCCAGCGAAGCCAATCTCGGGTCGGGCGAAAGGGGGGGATAGCAAAGGGGGGGTTTGGGAATCAGCTCGCGTAGCTGATTTTCCCGGCGCCTCCCGGCGCCGGAGGCGGCTATGCATCGAGGGATGGGCCCCTCGGTGAGGCCGAAACCAGCTGCATGCAGCAGATTTCGTAACCCCCCCTTTCCCAATCCCCCCCCTTCGCCCGGCCCGACAATCGCGCGTGGTGCCTCGACGGCGACGGCCCGCCCGGCGCCGGCCCCCTGGCCGCCGGCTCGCTGCGCAGCAGGCCGCTCTCCGCCGCCCCCGCCGCGGCGCCGGCGACGTCCATGGCCGCCCGGCCGCCCGCAGGGGCCGAGAGGCGCCCACGCCGCCCCGGCGGGCCCGCGCGCTCCGCAGTGCCTGCCGCCCGCAGGCCTCTGCGGTGGAGCGCTCAGCCAGGGCGGCGAGGTCTGCACATACATACGTGAACGCATGCATGCATACGAACATACGAACATACGAGCATGCATACATACATGCATACATACATACATACATGCATACATACCTACATGCATGCATGCATGCATGCATGAATGCATACATACATGCATGTATGCATAAAACATACACAGATACATGCATGAATGCATGCATACGTACGTACATGCATACATACGTACATGCACATATGCATGCATACATACATACATACATACATACCCTACCTACCTACCTACCTACCTACCTACCTACATACATACATACATACATACTTACTTACGTGAACGCATGCAAACATACGAACATACGAACATACGAACATACATACATACATAGGTACAGACATACATACAGGCATGCAGTCATGAATGCATACATACATCACACATGTGCATACATACATACATACATGCATGCATACATGCATGCATGCATACATACATACATACATACATACATACACACATTCACACACATACATACATACATACATACATACATACATACATACATACACACACATACATACATACATACATACATACATACATACATGCATGCATGCATGCATGCATGCATGAATGCATACATACATGCATGTATGCATAAAAACATACACATATACAGGCATGCATGCATGTATACATGCATGCATACGTACGTACATGCATACATACGTACATGCACATATGCATACATACATACATACATACATGCATGCATGCATGCATGCATGCATGGATAAATACATGCATACATACATGCATGCATGCAGTCATGCATACATACATACACACATACACACATACCTACATACATGCATACGTAAATATCTGCATAGATGCTGACATTTAGACATGCATGCATGCATACATGCATTCGTGCATACATACATACATGCATAAGTACACACGTACAAACGTGCATGCATGCGTGCATGCCTGCATACATACAGACATACATATGTGCAGACGTACATACGTATATGCGTACATTCATGCATGCATGAAGTCATGCATACGTGCATGTATGCGTACATGCATACATAAACACATACATACACACATGCATACATGCATACATAATTACACATGTACATACGTGCACGTATCCATACATGCGTACATTGATACATATCCACGTATATACCTACATACATACATTCGTACATACATACATACGTGCATACATCCATACACACAAATGCATACACGCATGCATACATACATACGTACATGCATACATACATGTATACACACATTGTATACATGCATGCATACATGAATGCACACATACATACATACATACATACATACATACATGCATGCATGCATACATACATACGTACGTACATACAAACATACATACATACATGCATACATACACGCACATACAAACATACATGCGTACATGCGTACATACGTAGATACGTAGGTAGATGCAGGCATGCATGCATGCATGCATGCATGCATACCTACGGACATACATACGTGCATAGCTGCATGCGTACAGGCATACATACACACACAGACATGCATGCATGCATGCAGACATGCATACAAACGTACATACATGAATGCATGAATGCATAGATGCATGCGCACAAACACCCACACATAAATACATACATACAAACATATGTGTACGTTCGTACATACATACAATATACAGTCGTACGATCCTGCAAACAAAGGAAACAAGTACATGCACATATCAACATGTGTACAGACACACATGCATGCATGCATGCATGCATGCATGCATGCATACAGCTACGTACATACGTGCATACATTCACGCATACAGACATACAGTATACATTAATGCATACCTTCGAACAAGCACATAAAGCAAATATATGCACTATATATACATACGTACAGACACGCCTGCATGCAAACAAACATATATACATATATGCATACATACAAACAAACGTACAGACATACATACATACATGCTTACGTACAGACATACATACATACATCGAGGCAACGCTAACGGCGATATTGCTGAACGGTGGTGTTGGGAACTAAAGTGTAGAAAATCACGAACCACACTTTCCTACATCCCCAACATTCGAATGTCTCTAACGAAAACGACACAGCGAATTGTAGGAAAGCACGAGCCACGCGTCCCCACAATGGCGAAACCTACATCGCCGTTGCCTGCATCGCCGTTAGCGCGTCTACGGATACATCATGCATACAGTATACATTCACACATACATAACTACCAACAAAGACACAAAGACAACACATGCATGCACATATATACATATGCACAGACATACATGCATACAAACAAACAAACACACATGCACACATCCATACAAACACATATACGTTTATAGATACGTACGTATATACAGTATGCAGTCATACAAACCTGTAAACAAACAAATGAAACACATACATGCACATACGTACATATGTACATGTATACATGCATACAAATAAATATATATACACACACACACACAGACATACATGCATGCATACATGCATGCAAGCAAGCAAACAGACTGACAGACAGACAGACAGAAAGAAAGACAGACAGGCAGGCACACAGACAAACAGACACACAGAATGCTACACACGTGTATCACCCACGGCCCTGGGCCAGGCCCCTCCTGGGCCCCAGCAGGGGCCTGGTCGTGGGCAGCGGGGCAGTGGGGCAGGGGGGATGTTTCCTGACGTGGACCCCCAACGGTCTGGACCCCTTCTCCGGGACTTTTTTTTTCCTCCCCGAGTCGTCTCTTGACGGTCCTGGGGGTCGGCGAGGGCCCCCAGAGGCCGAGAGGAGCGAAAGAAACCCGGCGCGCTTCTTCATGACCCGAGGGTGTCCGGGGGTGGGCGCTTGAGAGGGCAGTCGGCGGCGAGCGAGGGGGGGAAGTGAGAGGAAGAAGGCCCTCTCAGAAGGCGGCGGGCTTTCTTCTCAGAAGCCCTCGCGCCTCTTGAGAAGTCTTCTGCTGCGTCGTCGGGAAAGGCTCAGAAAGCTGCCCACGAGGCCGGGAGACTGCCGAGCCTTCTGAGAGAAGGCCCGCCCCTTCTCGCCTGCCCCCCTCTTTTGCCATCGCTCCGCCGTCCATCCCCGTGCATTCTTCGGCACCGCGCGTGTCATTCTTCGCGAGAAGATCCACGAAGCTCCTCGATGGTCCTCGCCACCCCCCCCAAAAAAAAAACGCACACGTCCGAGCGAGGATTTTTTTCACAGATAGATCACGACGCAGGTGGCGTCGTCGCGGTAGGAGCCCCACTTGGCCCACGCCTTCCCCGCGGCTGCGACGACTCCCGCCGCGGCCGCCGGCGCGTCCCTGGCGCGGCGGTGCAGCAGGCACAGCTGCAGGACCTCGGCGTCCGACAGCACGTCGAAGACGCCGTCCGACGCCACCGCCATGACCAGGTCGCCGTCGCCCAGAGGTGCCTCCAGCGCTGCCGCGCCTGCGGAGACGCCACAACACTTGCCCAGCGCGTCGCCGAGGCTTCGGGTGACTTGCAAGCCAGGCGCCCCAGGGATGAGCCTGCTGTACAGCCGCGGTGGCCCGAAGCCGGCGAGGTCGGTCGCGCCCTGCCCGTTGGCGTGCCTGGGGCACTGCAGGCGGCCCCCCGCCGCGGCTACCCGCGCCGCCTCCGCCGGGTCGGTGACGAGGTGATCCTTTGTGAGACGCACCGCCTGCCAGGCGGCGCCCGACGCACCCTCGCCGCAGCCCCTGCGCCCGAGCAGCACGCGGCAGTCGCCGACGTGCGCGACGGCCAGGCGGCGGGCGCCAGAGCGCGCGGCGGCGCCCGCGGCGGGGTCCTCCACGCGCACCACGGCGCAGGTTGCCCCCGCCAGCCGGGCGTCTACCCGCTCGCTCAGCAGCACGGCCCCGTCCGCCAGCACCACCAGCTCGGCCACCGCCGCCGCCGCGCCGCCGCCCCCAGGGACCCCAGGCAGTGCCCCCGCGAGGAACTCCCGGAGCTCGGAGGCGACCAGGGCGCCGAGCTTGCCGTGCCCGTCGAGCACGCAGACGCCGAGCGAGGCTTCGTCGGCCGAGGCGAAAAAGAACACGTCCTGGTTCTCCTTCTCCGTCCCTGGCCGGCCGCTGCAGCCGGCCGCCGATGCGCCTGCCGCGACGCACGTCCGCGACCTGCACACGGCGGGCTCCCCGGCACGCGGCTCCTCCGCTGGCAACCACCGGGCTCGAAGCACCGCGAGGAGCTGCGCCGCCACGCGCGCCACCTCCGGCTCCCAAGGCCGGCAGAGCGACAGCGCCAGGGCGCA